AAAATATCCGTATGTATTTCTTTAGTGCATATTATATAGTTTTTAAAAAATTTTGGTTTTTTGCTCCAAGTTCAATCGAATCGCAGATCCCCGCAACGCCGATTTGACAGTGGCTGACAAAACGTTTAATAAAATGGCTTCAGCGTCGTCATTTTATTAAAAAAATAAATGAAAAAAATATTTTTTACTTCTAAAGACTTGTATTATTAAAGCCTTAAAATGAATTTTTTATTACTTTTATTGTTTTTCTAAAAAAAATTCCCAAAGTTACCTACGATTTTTAGGCGGTCAAGGTGGTGCAATCCCTTAAACAGTACATTTTCTCATTTTTGCAGATAAATAAGAGATTTCCATTTTGCTAACAATATGATAAAATTTATTTTAATTAATTTACAATGTGCAAGCAAAGTTGGATTGTTTTTACATTTAATAGATAATAATGACAATAATTTTAACACTATAATATTGCAGAAAAAATTTTTTTCTCTTTCTATGTTTCAGATAACAAATAATTTTGTTTACAAATCTCGATATTCATTCGCACATATATTTCTTCACCTGACGATTTTAAATATTCCACAAACATGTTTGAGATATGCTACGAGCATCATTCCTGTTGCTACCAATGTAGTCCCTCCTATACAAATAACTGTATTCACATGCAGTACAATGAAATAGAAGTATTTTTCTGACGTGAAAAAATACTTCGGTATAACGTGCTCTGTTATACTGCGCATATCAGTCTCTTGTATGAACAGGAAAATACCAAGAACGCGCGGTAGCAATGGTAAACAAATAATAGATAATAAACTGGAGACGTGAAACACTAAGGACACATTAAAAAAGAATTATCATATTATAAATCGTTGTTTTTAAATATAAAATAAAATATTTTATTTTATATAAAATGTTGTACATTCTAAGTTTATTTTAGTCTTTAATCACATCTTTGTCTGAAAATATTTGACAATTTGTAAATATTTACATTTTTAATTATTTTAATATTGTATGTTACTTTTTTAAATACTTTATTATTTATATATTTTATTATTTTTCTACTTTCAATAATCAACTTATCTTTATTGCAAAAATACTTCTATGTGTGTTCCATTTTTAAAATTATATTTTTGCAATTATATTTTCTCTGATTGAAATAAGACAGTTGAATGTATTCAAGTTAAATAGCGAAGTGGTTAATCAAAATAATTTAGTAATTAAAATTATTAATTTTTTATTATCTATTTATTATTCTATTACTTATTATTAGATATAATTATTTTTACTAAATAAATGTATTATTATTTATTAATGTTTTTATTAGATTATGTATTTATTTCGCCTCTACTAAAACATATACTCTGAAATGTAATAGTTGTCTTACAGGTTATAAAAGCTGTGTAACGCTTCGCATTATTTCCATATTCCTTTATAATAGTAATTTCGTTTTCGTCTTTCAATGTGTTACAGATCTGCTGAAGTTGGTCCAATAATAGCTTCACCTACAGTGTCAACAGTATTTTTTTGATATTATTCTCATTGTAAATTCTTATAACTATGTAAAATTATAAGAGAGTTATAAGAAATTACTATGTAAAGAAGATATTTATTTGAATAAAACTTACAGTATTAGCATTAATCACGAATGAATTGTAATTAATTGCATACATAGCAAAAAATAATACGTAGGAGAAAACTTGGATGACAAGATCAGGCGTGCATTCCACAGTCACAAATACTAAAAGCTACAATCAATAAATTTACTTAAAAAAATAAAAGGTTTTATCTTCCTGATTCATTAATTAAAAAAATACGGTAACATTTGACCTTCCTTTGAGCATAATGATGTAAAAAAAAATTTGTAGTTGTTATACAACATAAAGATATATTATATGTCATGCTATCAACTCTGACCCTGTCAAGTGTTTCCAAATATGATACTCAATAATTTCAAATAATACTCGATAATCTGGTATCTTATTATTACAATATATTCGAGTTTAGTCATACGTTTCTTTTATTCTTCTATCATTTATCTTCAATTTAATGTTATTCGAAAGTATAAATGCGTAAAACTGTTTCATTATTATAAAAATTAAATTTGTCAAGACAAGATTAAAAATGAGCGACATATTGGTGCTATATGGGCAAAGATGGAGTCAACATTAAACTTAATATTTAGTCATTTTTATCACGTTTACAAATATTACGCAAACAGGTGTTATCGTTCACAAATATTCGAATCACGATTAAAACAATGTACATACCTGAAATACAACAGAACTAATCAGGATACCAAAACACCAGGCTAATTGAAGCTGAACTAATTTCGATCGCTCGTAAGGCCATAAGCCAATAGAAAGCAAGAGAATACGATTCAAATTGAAAAAGGACTTAATGCAGATCATCACTCAACGAGAAACAATGCGCATCTGACATACGAAGAAGTCGAAGGGGAGATTCATATATACGAGTACCTCCCTTCCTATCCTTTCTTTTGAAATGTCGATAAAATATTTTAGAGAAATTCCCTTCTCTAGAATTTATTTTAAAATTACTTAATTATGTACCACCTAATAATACATGAAATCGAACCACTGATAACATGGTATTCTTATTCAGACAGAGAGAGAGAAAGAGAGAGAAGGGCGATTACGCGATCGATCGATTTAACGCCGAGGGGAAATTTAACCGATGTTTACTTCCCACAGAAAAACATTTGTGAGACACTTTTTAATCGAAGTTCCACGCAGGCGTAGTTGTTCTTTCACATTATGGCAGCTTTATATGCTTCATTCCCTCGTGTACACTCGCGTGACATCTTTCCTCTTTATGAGTCACGTTAATTCGCCGGTCTTACGTCAATGAAATCAGCTCTACATATATCGGCTATACAATCATCATCGATAAAAATCCAAAGTTATGTAAAATATAGTTCTTATAGCTGTTTATACTTGCGAAATCTATATTTCATATTAAAGGTTTGTGTTAAAAATAAGAAACATATTTTTTTTCAATACATTAAAAAAGACTTACCAAGCTTTTTCAACATACAGTACATCTTTCATAGTACTACATAACACGATCATTTAGTACTTAAAATGGTTTTCTGACAAGAAGTGGATAGACATTGATTACCGGATTTAAAACAGTTATTTTGTGGTTCGATTTTCACAATAGCGCAACGGATACAAAGTAAAATCAACGCTATTGACAGTAAGTATTATTTTTGTAAGTTGCGTGACTTTCAAGCCAATTTCAATAATACCGCGCGCGCGCTGTGTGTGTGTGTGTGTGTGTGCGTGTGCGTGTGCGTGTGTGTGTGTGTGTGTGTGTGTGTGTGTGTGTGTGTGTGTGTGTGTGTGTGTGTGTGTGTGTGTGTGTGTGTGTGTGTGTGTGTGTGTGTGTGTGTGTGTGTGAGAGAGAGAGAGAGAGAGAGAGAGAGAGAGAGAGATTTTTTACTCTTTCAATAAAAAGTGTGTCTATACAATATTGTTTATCGCAAAGTAAACAGTTATAAAGACTCAATTATCTATAAACAGTAAAATATATGTATAGTATATATGTATATGTATAGTAAGATTGCGGACATGGAAATAATATAAGCGATACATTAATATTTCGTGCAAAATTTATGTGAATAATATTTTTTACTTTAACATAAAAACGTTTCAAGTTTTTTTTAAATTCAAATTAACATTATTTACAAGTAAAAAATGTTTCATAATTAATAAGCATAATCAAAATAATGCGTAAATCAACTATATACTTGTCTGTTATAATTACATTATAAATACAGCATTGCGATCTCAAAAGGAACATTGTATATTTTTGATAACTCTACCGAAGAAGATATATCACACAAGAGGATAAATTTATTATCAAACTTATAATATTACAATAACTATCAGATAATAAATTTTTGCGTCACTGTTGCAAGGAACTCACAATTGTGAAATAAGATATCGATACCTTCGTTAGCTAAAATAAAATACACCTTGAATACTGTCTGTTGTATGTAAGGCAAATCCGTAAAATATTATACGTAATAAATGCACAATAATGACTTTTACCGTGGCGAAAAATTCTAAAGACAGCCCAAATATTCTGCCTAGACGCAGAACAAAAGTTTTGTTACCTTTTTGCAGAAGAAACAATATCAATTTTTGTACATGCAATGGCGCTACGTACCATCGGACATTATATCTATAAAGTAAAAACTGTGTAATGGTTATATGTCTCAACAGTTCAATGGAAAATATAATTATAGTTAAATTATCTCTCACGCGGTGGAGAATACATGGCTATTGTGATCCGTAACTTCTTGTCCGATATAGTTAAGTACAAAAAAATATAAAAAGACTGCAATGACAACTATAAGATGTGTTAAAAATTGTTCGATGTCATCTTCGAATGACGTAACTTCAGTAATCTAAAATATAATGCAATAAACACTTCATGATAAAAAAAAGTTTACATATACAAAGTTACAAAAAATTTCTTTAATATATATTATAACATTAATATAACATAAAAATATTATAAAATAAAAATATAAAATTATGTTAATTTTGATGTAAAATATAAAAAAATTTAAATTAAGTTTTATTACTTTTATATATGTATATATATATATATATAGCTAATAACAAAAAGAACTCACTCCGTAAAGATTGAGGCTCAAACAAATCACACTAACCATTATTAAAAATATGTGCGATCCTTGAAAATTAGAAGTCAAATATTGACAGAACCTTGAAGAAAAATAAGACTATGTATTATTTGTGTGTATGTTTGTATGCGTGCATGTGTACGTGCGCGCGCACTATTAATAGATAAATACTAACTTGACAGTTTTACGATGAATATCTACCGCAAAAATAATTTCTTTACAGTCTACAATTTCGTTCTTCAAACCATTATTTTTTACCATATTTATCATCAGTGCTTTCTCGATACGATAACTGTAAATAACTTTTATTATAATTATATACATGATTTTGTTAAACGAAGTAAAGTGATTTCCAAGCCGCATACATATTATAGCTTTATATGTTTGTTATAAGAGAAGAAAAAAATTTTCTTAACAAAACTAATTTACTCAAACAACTTTTTTTTACCTGCAATAAATCATTTCATCAATAAATTAAAAAATATTAAATATAATTCTATCATTAAAAAGTTTTACCGTAACTACAAAATACATTATTTGCTAAAGATAAAATATTAGATCAAAGTTTTGTCTAATAAACATTTTTTAAATAAAAGAAATTTTGCTTAAATATCCAAAAATTATTATCAAAAAAGAAAGGTTTTTGCATCTACATAAAATGTAGTAACAATACGTAAGTAATTTCAATGCGATAACTATTTATTTTTCATTTGTGTACAAATTTATTTTAAATAAAAACTAAAATAATTTAGACACAATCACACATTCGTTATACTTATTCACATATATTTTTTTACCTGGCGATTCTAAACATTCCACAGGCATGTTTAAAATAACCTAAGAGCAGCGTTCCTGTTGCTACTATTGCAGTTCCACCTATTTGAATCGCTGCATTCAAATGTAGTACAAGTAGATAAAAATATTTTTCTTCGTTAACATAATATACAGGCATAACGCTTTGAAGTAAGCGACGTAGTAGCAAATCATTTATGAAGACAATACCAGGAGTATACGGCAAAATTGACAGCGACATAAAAACAATTGTGTTGCATAAATGAAGGACTAAGAACATTTTAAACAAAATTATGTAAGTCATTATTGTTTTATAGATTTTATGTGTTTCAAAATTGTTTACATCTCGGTAAGTATTTTTACAAAGTACGTACTATAAAATGTTCTCGTCATTTAATTTTTTAATTTTTCTTTAATTTTTAAAATAGTAATTAAAACAAAAATTATTGTTGTAAAAGTATATTCTTGTTTTGTGTGCTTCTTATTATTTATTGCATTGGACAAATGTATTTGGGCATATATAATTTTATTATATCGAATTTATTGTAGATATCGAATTTCTGTTGTAAAATATTAAACAATTTTATGATTTGAAAAAAATTCTCAGAAAAAGGCGTTGATCCATTGTATTAAATAAATATATTACTACAAAATATATTATACATAAATTTACATAAAAATTTTAGAAATACAAATTTGCTTTCAGAAAACATTATAGTTGATTATCTCCAAAACTCCTAAATATCTCTAATACCGTGAGCCGAAATGTAAGGAACTCGTGTTTATCATGACAAGGAGTAATTTGCATCTTCAAACCTGCACCATTGCCATAAAATAATACGTGTGGTATTTTTGCCTATTTTTTACCAAGTGTACCAAGTTTCAATTAAATTCGAAAAAGTAGGATCCCTTGTGTGAGCCACATAAATGAATATAATCAAAATTTGAAAAATAAAAAGTTCTTCCACAATAATTCTAAAACATACATTGTTTACGCATAAAAAGGTAAATAGTTACTAATGCTAGAGATGTAACAAAATATTTATAATTTTTTGTTGTATGTAGCAAGATTAAACTAAAATTTATTTTCTGCCAGTTTAAAAATTTAATTATTGGTCATATTTTGTTTAAGTATGTCATATTTATAGTTATGAGTAGAAATGTATATTTATATAATACAATTTCTTAAATGTACAAAATAATTTATTATCTTTTCTTCTTTCATGTATTCACATATTCAATCGATTTATTGAAACGGGTAATAAACGGATAAAAATTTTACGAGACATGAGGCAAAAGTGTTTGCCCAAAAACATTTGTCCAGTATTTGCTATATCTTTAATTATACTTTAATATTTTAAAATATGGAGATATTCATAGAATAAGTTATAAAATGATTATAAATAAGATTATTTAATTTTTAAGATTGTAATCTATTTCACTTTGCAACGTTAATAAATATCAAGAGATACAGTCTTACAAACAATTAAGGCCGTAATACGTTTCGCGCTCTCTCCATACTTCTCTACGATAGCTATTTCACTTTCATCTTCCAACTCATTGTAGACATGCTGAAGCTCTTCTAAAGATTCCTTCACCTATCGTGTACACGTTTTTTTTTTTATTATAATCTCGTTGAGATATGGAAGATATTTTGTGTAAAGTTTGCTTATATGTCAAAAATATTATTTTTCTTTAAATTAATAGGCCAACTTACTATTTCAGTATTAATTCGAAATGAGTTGTATTGAATTGCACATATAATAAAAAATAATGCGGTTGAAAGAACCTTGATTGCAAGATCAATAGTGCATTCGGCAGATAAAAGCACTGTAAGCTACAATCGATAAATTTATTTAAAAAATAACGAGTGCGGATATTTAATTGAATAACTCTCATTTATTAGGTTGACTTAAATACATATATAAAAAAGGCAATCGTTTTTTCATGCATTATAATGTAAAAAATAATTTATATTTTTTATTATAAACTGCATTATATACTCTCACATAAAATTAAAAGAATATTTCAAATTTATAATAAAAAAATATAATTATTTAATTAATAATACAAACCGCTCTAATATTTAAAAATTTAGTAATTTTAAACAAAATCATTTCAAAGCATAAATATTAAACTCTTCATTATTTTACTAGGCAATGCGATTACTTCAAGTAATGCTATATTCTCAAATATAAGAATCGCGTGGAATTAACTTGGATTTTCAAGTTCACGTATGGAATTTAAAAAATTTTTAATAAAAAAATGCCTAATAAAATTTAAAGGCTGAACATAAAGTTCTAAATGCTTTTAAAATATTTTTTTTAACCGCAGTATTCATAATACTCAAAGTTACTTAAATTTACATCCAACGATATTTTTTAATGCAGTTATAATTGTTGAGAAAAGTATATTATTTTAAAAAGGTAATGCGTATTATATTGTAATATAAGAATTAATGTACTAAAAGTTAAAATATTAAAAAGTAATAATATAGTAACAAATATACCATTACAAAATTTGAATCTACCTGGGATACAATAAAGCTGATTAAAATACCAAAAAATAATGTTAGCTGAAGGTGAGCCAGTACGGATTGTTGGAAAGGCCATAAACCAATCATAAGCAGAAGAAGCCGATGGTATCTGAAATGCCGAGTGGTAATGCAGATCATCACTGAGCAAGAAACGACACGCGTATGACTGACACGCGACATAATCGATGACGATTCGTGTATATTTTCCTTTCTTTGTAAACATTAATATTCCATACTTAAATTTTCCTTTTCTATCATAAATTCATAAATTGTTTATAACTTCTTAATATCATCGTGAGATCGGACTACTCGTAACGTTATTTATTCGAAAATAGGCGGCGATTAAGCGATCGATCGCTTTGACGCCGAAGGAAATTTAACCAACATGCGATGTTGTTTCCCACAAAAAATATGAGCATGAAACTTTTCGATTAAAATGCGCGCAGACGCAGTTGTCATTTCTCATCGTGCTGTGTTCGTGCACACTTCATTTCATCATGTACACTCGTGCGATACTCTTCTTCTTTAAAAGTAACGCAATTCTTCGGTTTCACGTGTTGTCAAAATTAATTTATATCAGTTACACATTACAATTGTCGCCGATAAAATAGAAAGAACTGCAGTACTTACAGAAAATACGGTTCTTAAAACTCACTGCATTTGCGAAAGTATTTGACTCAAAAGAGTCGCGCACATATTAAAAACCATATAATATTTGAAGATGTAATATATCTTTTGTGTATGACAAAATTTTTTAACAAAATATTTTTTTATAAAGAGTGTATAAATATATCAATTAGTTTGACTCAAATGGCAACAAATTCGATACAAATATTTAAATAGCGCAGCGCACATAATGAGTTCAAGGTTACTAAGGGTATGTATTATTTGAAATTTCATCTAAGCTCTAAACTTTAGAACGACAATAACGTTCTGTTCATCTTAACGTACACAAATTTCAAGTTTCTTTCTTTTATTCAAATAACATTAAGTACAACATAAAGTCCAAAAACGAGACATAAGACGTTTTAAAGACGTCTTAAAGATTTCTCATGTCCCGACTTTAGACTTTGTGTTGTCTAGAAACAAATGAGTGTTATAATTTCAAACATAAGAAATATTATATTCTTGATAACTTTATTAAATATAGTAACATAGAAGAGAGATTAATTCTTTTTCAAACATGTATTACAATCAAAATGACAATCACTAGTGGATGATAAATTTCCGCATCACTGTTGTATGGAATTCACAATGGTCAAATAAGATATCGATACTTTCGTTAACTGAAATGAAACATATCTTGTTTTTGGTGCATTATCAATAAAGCTATTATTGTTATCTTGTGTGTATCATTGTCTGAATCTAATAAAATGTTAAGATATGGGCGACTAAAAGTACGCATCGTCTAAAAGTACTTATAATATAATATCTCGATGGAGGCAACAGTAATTCAAACATTACTACATTATGGAAGATACATTCTATCAATGTTTGTTAAGTTGGAAAGCTAAATAGGAAATTTATTGTATTGTTTGATTGTAAAAACTAAAGGTAAATTAATTTTTTATCAATTATTATAACTTTTTGTTTTCAGGTTTAAGTGTTAATTGTCAATAAACAATTTTTTTGTCACATAATTATTAAAGGAATTATTTGTGAAAGGATAAACCTTTTCTTATCTCTAATGTAACATATAGTTCTTTCTTCTCGTGCAAATATTTATCACAGTCACAAAGTCAAGGCGCAAAATGTATAAATGTCTATTATTTATCAGTATATTTGCAAGATACCTGATTTTCTTTATATGTAATGAAATTATGTTTTTCTTTGAATAAATTTTAATTATTGTTACAAGCAAAAGTTTGTTAAATACGTACTTTTATCCGCCTTTGCCCTATACTATAAAATATAATCAGAGCTTTTACCGTGGCAAAAAATTCTAAAGACAAATCAAACATTCCGCCTAGCTGAAAAACGAGAGTTCTACTACTTCTTTGCAGCAGAAACAATATCAATTTCTGTACGTGTAGTGGTGCTACGTACCATCGAACATTGTACCTGCAAAATAAATCTGTGTAAAGGTGCACCTGTGAATAATTCAATAATAGAAAATACAATATTGAAGCGCCTGCTGCAACAGTGAATTAACACACATTTTGTAACAACGGTGAAAATAAACTCTAAAATTAACATGAACGTTAGAGTTCATTATTTCTGTTTTTACAAAATGTTATAAAAATACGGGTTAGTCCACTTGCAGCAAGCTTTTCATATATGTATAATGTATAAATATTATTTCTTACACCGTGAAGAATATATGATCATGATGATCCGTAAGTTCTTGTCCACTATAATTAGATATAAAAAAATATGTAAAAATTGAACCTATTATTATAAGATGTATACAAAATTGCTCGATATTTCCCGATGACATAATCTCAGTAATCTAAAACATAATGCAATTAAAGCTTATGCATAATAGAATGTAATATAAAGTAAGGGCGTGATTAAGGGTGTGTAAGAATACGCATTAATACGGTTTATATTTCGATATAGACAATAGCAATTCAATTAGCATTACTATATATGTTATGGAGGTAAAATTCCCATTTAGGGTAGCCCCCTCCAATGACCTTGACTTTGATATATTGTCAAGGTCATGACCCTGAGTGGCCTTCAAAAGGTTTTAGCCGTCGCTCGTTATTCGTTAAAAAGTTAATCATAAAAAGATTGTAAAAATGACCTCCATAATTCGTATAGTATGGGGGATTATAATGAACAAAGTCGATGTACGTGAAACTACAATTATAGACCTTGTTTCGCTCCGTGAAGGGAAGGGTGAGAGGGGGGGGGGGTTGGACCTCACTTCGCGTAGAAAGTCATAAACCCATGTGGGACAGTTAAGGTCTATCTACAATGAGAGTAGTACATCGTAAGCCGTAAGAAATTGACCAATCATAGTGGAATATAAGAAGTATAATCGATTGTGATTGGTCAATTTCTTACGGCTTACGACTTACTACTCTCATTGTAGATGGACCTTTATAGACCTCGTTTCGTCCCGTAAACAGAGAGAAAGGGAGGGTTAGACCACGCTTCGCCTTGTAAACAAGGAAAGGGAGAAGGGGGAGGATTAGACCTCATTTCGCGTGGATAATTCATAACACACGTGGAACAGTACAATTATAGATTTTGTTTCGCTTCGTTTGGGGATTGGGGCGGTGAAGCCCCCTTCCCAGTAGGCAGTATGGGCACAGATTGGGAGGGGAGAGAGGGTAAGGGGCAGGAGTGGAGCCCCTCTTCCCGCATATCACATAGTTAATATCTATTATAGAAATAAAAAACGGTCCTTTAACAATGTGTCGAGTTAAAGCAACACATGCTTTAATGATCCTACTCGTAATTCATAATGACATCTTACCTTGCATAGGGGTCTTGCTAATCTTTTCAGTATTATATATTTAGTAAGGCAAAGATTTAATAGATATATATGTATTTATTCATTATTTTTGCGAAACAAGGTCTATAATTGTATCTGATCTTAATTGAGTATTTTTTTAAATAACTTTTTAAAAAAGGACGAGCGACGGCTAATGTCTTTTGAAGATCATTCAGAGTCATGATCTTGACAATACATGTATGTCAAGGTCCGTCCGACGTCGTTCCCTTAAATGAGAATTTTACCACCCTCTTGATTTGCATATCTCGTAAAAAATTCATAAAATAAGTAAAAGTGAAAAATGCATACATTTTCTATAAAAATTAAGATAATGAATTTAAAAATGAAAGATATTCAATATGGCGGACCAAAATATAAAATGTTCTTAGACATAACCCGTAAAGGACACCTGGGTGCGAATTCGCACCAAGCGAATTTTTTTAAAGTTTTATATCTTCTGAAAATAAAAAGCAAAATTAAAGCAAAATGTG